GGAAAAATTTATTGAGGTAGCCCGTCAATTGAAAATTGAGAGCACTAAGCAATTAGAGCTAGATTGCAAAACTAGATGGAACTCTACCTATTCGATGCTTAAGACGGCAATGATATACAAAAATATTTTTCCTCGCTTGAGACAACGTGAGTCCCAATATAAAATTATTCCTAGTGAGCAAGATTGGACGAAGGCAAGTATCATTGCTAAAAAATTGCATATTTTTTATACTGTGACTGAATTGTTCTCTAGGACCAAGTATCCTACATCAAACCTTTATTTTCCACACATTTGTGAGGCTAGGTTGGCAATTTATGATTGGCTCTTGTCTGACCAAGATGAAGTGAAATTGATGGCCTCAAAAGTGGTAACAAAATTTGAAAAATATTGGGATACAATACATGACATGATGAGATTGGCAATTATTTTGGATCCAAGGTTTAAGATGAAATTGATTTAGTTTTATTTTCCTCTTATATATAAAGAGAAGTCTTTCTTGGAAATTGAGAGGATACGTAAATTGTCTTATGATATTGTCAAAGAGTATCAGTCCAAGTCTAATTCAAGTGTTACTCATGAATTTTATTAATCTTCAATTTCTACCTCTTCATCGATGGCATATCAAGTTGGAGTTCGGAACTATATGAACAAGTTTGAATCTTTTTTTTCTAATTCAACTAATGTTGAGCTTGTTAAATCAGAGCTGGACCATTATTTGGAAGAGTCTCTTTTACCTAGGACTCTTGATTTTGATATATTATCATGGTGGAGAACAAATGACATCAAATATCCTACTTTGCATGATATTGCTAGAGATATTTTGGCCATTCCTGTGTCTATAGTTGCTTCAGAGTCGGCATTTAGCACTAGTGGAAGAATTGTAAGCCCCCATTGTAATCGACTTCATTCAAAAACTGTGGAGGCCTTGATGTGTGCTCAAGATTGGCTATGGAATGAGATAAAAGGTATTGAAAATATGTTATACAAATTTACCGTTAAATGTAATTGTTACTTAGTATTTTCTAATTATTCATGTTTATTGTGAATAGGTTCAAACTCTATAGCATTGTTCTAGGGCTACACATCTGATAATGATGTTGAGAATGAGGTAAAATATGAATTATATTATATAATTGATAATGATGTTTAATATCCTACTCTACATGATTGTAAAATTTATATTTTTGTTTTATTTGTGTCAGGGATCTTACACTGAAGAAGTTGAAAACATCACTTTGTGCGATTAAGATGTGTGATGACTACCTCTATAATGATGAACATGTCTTGGACATGTAATTTTGATATGTATTAATTTTTTTATATATAGTCTAGATTTTTAGTTAATAATAATTGAATTGATACATATGTGTGCGCTTATAGTGTTTTTTTCGCTCGTTCAACAATTTTTTTTTTTTTATTGGTTTTTCTTCAGTAATGGGGCGGGTAGGGGAACCCGTTCCCCAATGAAGGCGGGGATGGGGAATCCCCGCTTAGAATATTACGGGTATGAATGCGGGGATGGAAGAAAAATGCTTAACGGGGATGGGGATGAGAATAGCATACCCATCCCCAATTCGACCCATTGCCATCCCTAAGATTATTTCTTAGACACTTGACATATGAAATTCAATGTTGAAAGTAAAAAACTTTCCAAATTAAAAAGGAAAATCTTTCATCTCTTCTATGTTGAAATTAAAAAGAAAAATCTTTCATCTCTTCTATGTTTCATAAGCAGAGCTTGACTAGGAACAATCCGTGATTCATATATGTTGTCGAGTAACTAGCCCCTAAATAGGTTTAATAAAATCTAATTTTCAACATCCTTCAGTATAACATTTTTTCTTTCCAATCTTCAGTATAACATTATTAGCAATGACAAATATGTAGGAGAAATGGAATCATAAGTACTTCAAAATAAGACTTAATACGCAAAATTAGAAAAGAATGGTATTTCAAACCAATATACTTGAGTGGTCTCAAGTCTCAAACTATTCCCAAACATCTTGCAAGTCTACAACTTAAGTAGTACATACACTTAGCACGACAACCATATCCAAAAACTAGCAAAAATTACCGCATCCTCCGACATAATGATAATATACCCGTACACAAGTGTTGTTATGGTAACCACAAAAAGATACAAATAATCCAAATAGTTAAATTGTGAGAGTCTGTGAAATTCCAACATACCTACTACTACACATAAGATAGGTGCAAATAGTGGCACAAAGAAATTCTAATAAGCCAACAAAATTGTTAAACCTATGCTCACTAGTGCCCCAATGAACTAGCATAAGTTCCAAATATGTAATAAAACAATCACATAAAGTCATCAAAAATAAATCCCCAACATAGCCCAACACTCCATTAAGAAAAAAACTCAACAATGACATTAGAACTTTACCCCAAATACTATTGGGTGCAATGTCCCCGTATCCCACAGTTGACGTCATCTGTGTCGTAAAGGAAAGTGAAAGGGCAAATGGTGATAAACTTTTTTCTTTATTTTTGTTTGCGAAGCTATGCGAGAAACAATGTAATAAACCAAAAATCATGCCAAGCATCAATGTCCACATGCCGATCTTAATGACCACTTGAAGACGAGTTGGAGGTGCAGGTCCTGGAATATCTTGTGGAAGAAGAGTTGCATCTTGTGTTACATCTTGTTGAAGAAGAGCTGCATCTTGTATGTGCTCATGTGCAGCTTGTATGTGCTTAAGTGCAGCTTGTAAATGCCTAGGTGCAGTTTGTATGTGATCAGGGATTGGTGGTGAGTGGGCAAGTGGTCACCTCCAACTCCACTTCCAAGTGATGAGGGGCGCAACATGGGCTTGCGAAAGTTGACTCCACTTCCACCTTCACTGCTTTGATCACCAATGTCTTCTTTGATTTCCATAGTTCTTAGCGTTACTGAAATTGTAAATATAGAGACAAGAAAAATTAGATAACCAGATGATATTAAGCAAATATGTAGGTAATTCATCAATTTTTTTTTACAGATTTTACAACAAAACAATAACAGGAAACACAAACCAATGATGCAAACAAATTTGACAAAAATACTAGAAAAACTGATAGAGCCAGCAACAAGAGTAACTTTTGAAACCAAATAATGCAAACAGACTGTCAAAAATTCTCAAGAAACTGATAAACGCAGGCAACAAGATTTGATTTTGTTACCAAATAACAAATCTAAAACTTGAAAAAGAAAAAAAAGAAAGATCCCCAAACAAAATGACAAAGCTAAAACGAACATAAACGTCATAAAGAACAAAGCCCCAATAACAAATGCTGCAGATAATTCACCACATTTAGTGTTCTAGCTATACGAACGCAAAAACCGCAACCATTTTCTCAAATTTAAACTCATTTTACAACAAGATTAGGAAATACAAATCCTCAAGAAACTGATTAACCTAGCAACAAGATTAAATTTGAGATGTTGCATCGTTT